ATCAATAGTGATGTGTACAATCTGAATATGATGTTATTATACTTATTTAACATTTTTAAAATTCTATTTATGATGTAATTTTAATTAGTAGCTCACAATTGGTCTTTTTCCATACTGATGCCAATCCATGATGCAAATGAAGATCTTATCAAAATCAGATTGAAGACAAAGGAAACCAGCAATAACCACACATGCATGCCTCGGCAAAACATTGCATGAAAAAAAAGAAAGTTGATGTTCATCTTATGTATAGAGAGAGAGAGAGAGAGAGAGAGAGAGTGGTGCCATGTTGGGGCCTTGAATCATGATTATTGGGTTAGGGGTGTATCATATTGTTTCCTTCCGTTGCAACGCACGGGCTCTTTTGCTAGTAGGATACCTATAGACTTAGTTTGGCTAGGACCCCACGTTGTAATATGGCAAGATCAATAGAAGGAAAATCAACAGGTGCGACAGGCACCTCTGGCCATCAAATCAATTCAGTGTTTTTCGTTTGAGGTTCCGCCGAGAGCTGAAGTTGATTCGATCTAAGCTAGCCACCGAAAGCGATTACTATACGTACAGACGTACCGGCGAGTTGCACGTAACGGCTGTGGTTACTGTTCATTAATCCATCTGCTAGCCTGTGTGCTAACTTAGCACATACACGTACGTCGTTGATCCTGGGTGGTCTGATCTAGAGATCAGAAACCAACATAAGTAGCCAGAACACACGTGACGTCTCCGGTCAATGTTTGAGGAGACGTACATCCCACTGAATAATACTGGTCGATCCAGTCAATGTTTGTGCAACCAAGCATGCACATGCGGGTGATATGTTTGTATTTGTAATGTGTATGTGGCGACACCGTTGTATTCTACATGTTCACACCCCATGGCTTGACTCTGATGCACATTGTATACAAGCACCTGCTTTGTTGCTGCTTGTGGCAAGAGTAAGATGACACATTTAGCATCTTATATAGTACTTCGGTTCATCTGGCTAACTACTCGACGTGTCTGTGAATGTAGGACTTGTTTTGGTCGGCATTCTGCCTATGTCTGGCCTTCCTGGGGCGTCTCAAGTAGACGATGCGTGGTTGGAATCCCGACAGCGGCATGCATATCTGTTAGAGCAAACAATAGCGTAAACATGTCAATGATGTAGCTAGTAGACAAGACGATTTGCCCACAACCTCAATAAAGTTCACCTTGTTCGTCTGCTAAGCCAAAGCTCTGCCTACCCACCGCAGAGACGAACTCCGCCATCCTGTCAAAGCTCGACCTGTCGCTGCAATGAATCATGACGAGTCCCAAGCTTTCACCTCTAGCTCAAATTTCCAATGCATCCCATTTCTGAAATATACCCCCATTGAACTATGAGTGCCACTTATGCGTGTTGGTAATTTTCGCTTTCTCCATAGATTATTCATATTCTACACGTTTGTCTCACAATGACACACCTCTATTGTTGTTTCGAGCATTGCTTCTACTGCATGAGGAAACTAGTTATTTATAGTCAGCATGTATGTGTAGACTTCATTGCTTCACCAAACTTCTCGTGCCTGCCTCTTTAATTTTCTTCTTTCAATTGCAGTCCTAGCCATCGACAAAATAACATCTCTAAGGCACACTAGTGCATCCAATGTATGTAGTCTTGCCATACACAAGTTGGGCCCCGCCTTGTTGCAGATTTATCGCCTTCACTATACTTCACATGTTTGCCTCTTTATTTTCTTCCTTTAAGTGTACCATGGTGATTGAGGAACTAAAATCTCCATGGTGCATTAATGCATCCATTGTATCCATGCTTGACATGCCAAAGGTTGGGCTCGATGTTGGTGCATGGAGCAGACTTAATAGTCTTCATTGAACAACGAGTGGCATGTCGAGTGGATCCCTTGAGGTGACTTCCTAGGCGCTGGCTAGGAGAGGTATCTAAAGCCATTCATGATCTAGGTAAAGCTGGGTGAAAATAAGTTCAACAAAGTTTTGGTCAACCATGAAATCTCATTAAACATTATCAACACATTAAGAATTCTCGAGGCCCTGTAAGCGAGGGCGCGGAATACGTTGACTTTTTCATGCACTACCGGGTGATGCTAGAAGCCTTGGCATGCCGAGAGCCATGCTTCTTGTGACAGATGTCAGGCTACATAACACATGGTGGATGGAGGTCGTTATCTAGCAGTGGTGAAGAACACGAAAGCCGGTTGGGATGGTGGGAGGGGGGTAAGTATCTTGCAGCAGACGCAACGTGTTGGAGATCAACAAACGAGGAAAGTCTTTCTTTGAGGTGTTCTTCGCACATGAGAATAGGGCTTTGAATCCTAAAGCACATAGATTTTCCGATAGCGCTTTGTATTTGCCTCTGGGTCATCATCTGTGGCTTACTGCTCCAGCCGATGGGCTCTCTATCTCTCTAAACTCTACTATTTAACAAAGAGGCAACTATGCCGATGCCATAATTTACAACAATAAGCAAGAATAGAAGGAAACAAACCATTGTACATAGGAAACGATTGGCATGAAATACACCCAAGAACCTTAAAATGACAACCAATAGATTCGATACTGAGTTTCACATAATATATTCATCTCATAAATTTCGAGGCTTTTAGATCCACATGAAGTTGTAAATTTGCCTCTCTGAATACATGTTCCATCTTGCCACCGGTGACGATGAACGGATTCTTTCAGTATTTGCAAAACAGACAAAAGATGATAGGATGACTGTTGGTTGCCATTGATAAAATCTTGTCAGTTATTCTAGTTTGGAGGTTCAAACAACAATCATCGGGTTTAAAAAACCTTGAGTTCAATTTTCTGAATTAAAAGCAACATGGAGTATCAGCTGCAACAACATCGACAGATCGACTCCAGCAAAAAAACATATATCGACGAATAAAATCCTCACCACCCGCCACCCTCCAGCCTCACCCAAGTCTACCACCGGCGATGAGCCCCTGCTCCATCCTCCTCGCCTTCTTCCCTCGCCCTGCTCTTCCTTTCCCCCAACACATAGCACAGGCTCCGCCACAATCCCCTGCTCCCTGCTTTCTGCCCGCTGATGACCCCGTCGAACATCCGGCTCCCTCCCCGCCGACGACCCCCTCTGCCACAACCTGCTCCTTCCCCGTCGCAATGCGCCCCTCCGCCCCCTCCTGCTCCAGCCCCTTCGCCCCATCTCTTCTCCCCCAATGTGAAGTGAAGAGAAGAGAGAGAAAGGGGAGAATCACAGGAGGAAAGCGGCGCCAGATCCATGGCGGACCCGGGAGGACCCGCTAGGCGTGGCGTGCGTGCATGCGGGGATGGCATACGATGTTGGGCTAGCGTATCAGTTTGGCCCGTGTCTTTTGCCCTCCACACGCCACTCTTCAGTTCAGATGGGGTTTCCATGGCGTAGCTGCCGGAGATGCTTGCTCCACCTTATTCATCCAGAAGTCTAAACAGGACACGAAGACGAGCCTCCCTTTCCCCTTGCATCGCTCGCCCAGGCCCCCCTCCCTGCTCCCGTTCGCCGCGGTGGCAGGGGTGCTCTCTCCCTCTCCCAGGGCAGCGCTGGAGGCCAATCCCGTTGACTGGGACGGCGACGGCTGGCGGACCAGCGCGAGAAGGCCAGGGCGGCGGCCCCGGGACGAGCTGGCCAGCGCGCGGCAGCTGGGGTGGTCCGCGCTCGACGGCGGCGATGGCTTCGGCCACAGGGGTGGCGCGGCCTCGCCGGATCTGGGCTCTAACGCCTGGATCCGGGCGCGGGATGATTGTGATGTGCGGCGGCGGCCGCGGACAGCTAGTGGTTGTCCTCCATGGTGGCGAGCAGGTGTGCTGGTAGGGCGCCGCGGCCGCGGTTCTGGCTGGGTGTGCACCCAGCCTCGCTACGGGCTCGGGGAGGTCTTGGCGGTGTTCAGGTGGAGGCAACGGGTCGAGGGGGACTTCCCACCAGTCTGGTTTGGCTCGGCCTGCCATGGCCGTGGCTGGAGGTTGTAGGAGGCTGCCGCTCCATGGAGGTGGTGGTTGGTGGTGGCAGTGGATGCGGTGGAGTTGTCCTTGGCCGGGGTGGCACTGGCCAGGGCGCTGGAGATGGTGGAGGCCGCTAGGCTGATGTGTTGCGTGATGTGACGTCTCCTGTAGTGGTGGTCGGCCTGATTGAGCAGCTCCGGAAGTTTGGGTTTTGTGATCTTGGACTACGAGAAATTCCTGCTTCGCGTCGTCGAGGCTTGCAACGGCGACGTCTATGGACGTTGTTCCCTCCCTGGCGGCATTGCTTTGTCCCCCGATCCGACTCCCTTCCTCGTGCTCAGGGAAAACCCTTGGTCCGTTCTTTGGGCCAAGCAACGGCGGCACCATGGCGGCGTTCCTTTCTTGGAGGCATCCTCTTGTTGCTTGAGGACTTCCGGTGGCACGGCTCTCTTCCGTGTTGGCTTCTACTATGGGCATGGGCCTCCTTGGCGCAATGTACACCATCATGGTCGCTCTCTTGATGATGCCATCTCTAGGTCCGCCCAGGCCCTGCCATCCACTTGTCGATTTCTTCTTGGCGCAATGGGTGGGGTAGGTACATTGGTCTGTGTTGGCCTTGAGTTTTGGTCTTGTTGTAGAGGTCTCCGACAGCGGTTGTGACGCAGCTTGGTTGCTATGTGGCTTGTCCCATCGCCATCGGCATGAGGTTGGCCTAGGTGAAGAAGTAGTGTAGTACGCATGGGTGTGTTTGGTGGATGTGGATGCTAATTCCTGTGATTGGCGTTGTAATGGCTGAATGGCGTTGTATCCGGCTTCTTTGCTGCTTCTTCTTTAATATATGATACGCATGCTCATGCATATTCGAGAAAAAAACCTTCTTCATCCAGTTGGCCTGGGTCCGCCAAGAACCCCATTCCTCTCCTGCATAGCTTTCGCGTTCCCCCTATGTTCTTGAGAGCTTGGGAGCTGCGAGAGCAACAATGGCGGAGTTTGTGGTCGGGCCGCTGCTCTCCATGCTCAAGGACAAGGCGTCCAGCTACCTTCTGGAGTAGTACAAGGTGATGGACAGCATGAAGGAGCAGCATGAGATCCTGAAGCGCAAGCTACCGGCCATCTTGGACATCATCCAAGATGCGGAGGAGAAAGGGGCTTACCGGCCCGGAGTATGTGCTTGGCTCGAGTCACTCAAGAATGTCGCCTATGAGGCGAACAATGTCTTCGACGAGTTCAAGTACGAGGTGCTGCGGCGTGACGCCAAGAAGAAGGGACACTACAAGAAGCTTGGATTTGATATCATGAGCCTCTTCCCTGCCCACGACCCCATCGTATTTCGTTATAGGATGGGAAAGAAGTTGTGCAAGATTGTGCACACCATTAAGGTCCTTGTCGCAGAGATGAATGCCTTTGGATTCACATCAATGCAGGAAGCACCAGCATCCAAGCAGCGGCGCAACACAGATTCCATAATTATTGACCCTGAGAAGGATATTGTCAACAGATCTAGAAACAAAGAGAAGAAGATCGTGAATATATTGGTTGATCAAGCTAGTGATAGGGATCTCATTGTCCTTCCCATTGTTGGCATGGGTGGGCTGGGAAAGACCACCTTTGCGCAGCTTGTCTACAATGACCCTGAAATTAAGGTGTATTTCCAACTCCAGAGGTGGTGTTGTGTGTCAGATGATTTTGACGTTGCTAAGATTGCAAGCAACATCTGTCAGACCAATGAGATGGATCGTGAAAAGGCATTGCAGAACCTTCAAAAGGAATTAGGTGGGAAGAGATGCTTTGTTGTGTTCGATGATGTATGGAATGAAGACGCTGATAAGTGGGAAAAACTCAAGACCTGCCTGAAGCATGGTGCCAAGGGGAGTGCAATACTGATGACCACTCGTATACTAAAAGTGGCTCACATTATGAAGATGTGCATTGATGATAGCCATAACCTCGGAAAGCTACATAAAGTATTTCTAAAGGAAATACTTGAGAATAGAGCATTCTGTTTGCAAAAACCAAATGATGTTGAGCCTGAGCTAAGTGAGGTGGTTGAACTGATTCTGGATAGATGTGTGGGCTCTCCTTTAGCTTCCAAAGCCTTTGGATCTATGTTGAGTATAAAGACTAGCATGAAAGAATGGAGGGACATACTAACCAGAAGCAATACTTGCAATGAGGACACTTTACATGTACTCAAGCTCAGCTATGATGACTTGCCATCACACTTGAAACAGTGCTTTGCTTTTTGTGCAGTATTTCCTAAAGATTATGAGATTGATGTGGAAATATTAATCCAACTATGGACGGCACATGATTTAATACCACTGAAGAAAGGTGAACTTCTTGAAAGGGTGGGCAGAGAAATTTTTGATTAGCTCACTTGGAGGTCGTTTTTTCAAGATATCAAGCTAATCTCTCGAAGAACAAATTATCAGCTCCGTTCTAGAACAGTATGCAAGATACATGATCTTATGCATGACATTGCGTTGTCTGTTATGGGAAAAGATTGTCTTACTATAGTTGATAGGCCTATTCAAAAGGAGTTGTTGTCAGCAGGCCCTACTCGCCACTTATTCTCATCCTGATAGTTGATAGGCCTAATATTTCCGATGACATGAATAATTCTGTTCAGCCTGATATTTTTATCCTAGAAATTGGGATGGCCTTGATCCTAAAAAGATTGATATTTTGCTGCAAAAGGGTCTTAAAAGAGAAGATATTGAGCATGGTCCGTATGACAAGTTCTCTAGAAGGTTTTCTGCATTATCATTTAACAGAATTCTCTCAAATGGAGAAATGTTTGATCAGAGAGTGGCTTGTATACAGTAGCGACCTTCACAAAGTATTTTGTTTTTGTTGCAAGTTATTAAAAAGGGGGCTTGTGAGAGGCCAGCTAGCAAATGATGGTTTAAGTAACTGGATTCATCTTGGGGCTAGACTTAAAGAGCATGAATCAAGTAGAGAGCATATCACAAATATAACTGCATCGTATGACTACCGTCTTAGGTTACAGAAGAATCAAACAATTGATAAAGTTGCTCAGTGAGAACTTGAAAAAGAAAGGAACATTAGAGAAAAGTTTTGCTCAGGATTTTGTTGATTGTAAAATTTCTTGACGACTGGAGTAGCGTAAAATATGATTGGTCGTACGACAGATTCTATTATATATGGCGTGTACAGTACACTTGGCGACTGCAGTAGTGTAAAATATGTTTGAAATGAAAAACAATTAAATGGAAAACACAAAACAAAAAGGGAAAATAAAGCTTAAATCCTAAATCCTAAAACCCTAAATCTCTAGTCCCAGTTGGTGTCACTAACCAGGACTAAAGGTCCCCCAGCCCCCGACGCGGGCTCATGCCACGTGGTGGGTTTTTGGTCTCGGATCGTGATGAACCCAGACTAAGAGGGGGGGGGGGGGCTTTGGTCCCCACCCTTTAGTTCCAGTTGGACTAATGACCAATTCTACACTAATGTAATAAAGTGATTATACTTGAGTTATATTATGTTTTTTTACAAATATTAGGGCCACATTTTCCTTTTGGCACCAGGGCCCCAAATTCCTGGAGACGGGCCTGCCTAGATGGTTGCACAATGTGTGAGGAATCTCCGCAATTTGGTCAATATAAGTCACTTGAAGTACTCCCTCCATTTTTGTATACAAGGCCACTATCAAAATTATAATTTGCAACTATATAAGGCCACTAACACCAATCGAGATAAAATTGATGAGGTTTGCCTCGTACTATCAACCGAGAATATTAATACCTCATGCATGCATACGGGGATGAGAAGGTTGGTTTGAATGCACTGAATTAATCAACCAATGAGGAGTGAGAGCGTTGTCTTGTTGTGCGTTGAAGAGAAAAATACACATTAATTAACACGTCAAACGAGGAGAAAAGACTAGTTTGCAACATTAACTTAAGTGACCATTAATTTCTACCTTGTTACCTGTAATATGGGTTTGTGGCCTTGTATACAAAAATGGAGGGAGTACTTATCTTGAAAAGGTTGACCAAATTGCATAGCCGGTGCAGCCACAGTTCATCTGCAGCATTTCTAGCATTAAAATACCTCACATTAGAAAATTTGGAAACTTTTGAGAGATGGGTGGCATCGGGAGAATATTTAACATTTCCTCTACTCGAGAATGTTAAAATTGAAAACTGCCCAAAGCTAATGACTCTGCCTGAAGCACCAAAACTCAAAGTTATAGAGCTAGCAGAAGAGAAGGCTCAACTATGCTTGTCAATATTCAGATCCAGGCATGTGTCTTGCTTGTCTGATTTGTCCCTGCGTGTCAATGATACAGAAGCAACACCAACACTGGAGCTTGATCAAGATCGTGAAGTATCTCTTTTGGAACTAAGGTTGCATGGTTGCAGCTTTTCCCCCCTTGTCTATTGTGTTACAAGCGTACACCTTTGCAGCCGCCTGTAGTTTGCCTGTTTTGTTCAACTCTCCACGTATTTATAACTGGGAAACTCAGTTGTATGCCTGTTTTATCTTATATTTCAATGTCAAGAAGCTTGTCGGTAGAGTTTTCTCGCGTCTTAGTGACGAGAGGGCAGGTTTTCTTTCAATATGGTTATCCCGATATCAGTTTTCTGAATTCTGATATGGCTACCCCAATATCATTTATTTTTATAAATCTGTAAGTTTTTGACCTGGATGCTGCTAACGTTCATAGAGATATTCTGACATCATTTTCTGTGTACAGGGCCTAAACTATGGGAACCAAAATCCTGGAAATATATGATTGCTTCACAGCGCAAGCGCAAGGGCTGAATAGAAATACATATACCATGTAGTACGTTTCTGGATTTCTTTTTTGCCTCTTGTTTTCTACTCCCTCCGTTCCTAAAAATTTGTCTTTTTAGAGATCTCAAATGGTTACCACATACGGATGTATATAGACATATTTTAGAGTATAGATTCACTCATTTTGCTCCGCATGTAGTCACTTGTTGAAATCTTTAGAAAGACAAATATTTAGGAACGGAGGGAGTATAAATGTTGGTAGGCTAAAAGATTCGTTTTGGTATGTTCGCCGTTCTTGGGCTGACTGTGTGAATTCATTGTAGGATAGTGCATGGCTCCTGCACATGCAAATGATTTGACATAATTGGTAACTGCCCTCTTTAAGGGAATCTTCAGTGCGAAATACATTGTAGGATAGTGCATGGCTCCTGCACATGCAAATGATCTGACAGAGTTTCAACTTTAAGGGAGGCATGTCTCGGTGGAGGGGGATGGCGATTGGCATGGCGAGAACGGCGGTGACCGCGGGCACCGTGCGTGGCGCGGCGACGAGCGTGGATCTCGGCGCACGTGGCGAGTGCCCATCGAGGAAGGAGGGCGACACGGGCGATCCCGACGACACGAGATGGGAGGTCTCGTTTGCCCCTGATTTCTGATCTCGACGCTCGATTTCGTTCCAGCCAGGGACTCTGCTTCTCCGACACGAGGCGCTCCGGCTGGTGCTCCTAGACGCCGGCAGGCGGACGGTAGACACGCGGGCGCTTCGGGAAGGAGAGGGCGTGTACGATGGCGATGCCCTCTCCTTTCCGTGCCACCTGGTCAGGGTTGACCGGCGACTTCCCC